ACCTTTGACCCTTATGCTCCTATCTTGCATCCTGCTTAGTTGTTGTCCTTCATTCTAGAAGAGAACCAAAGTGACATTACTATGCTAGAATAAAATTATGGTGTGTCTGATCAAACCAATAGGAGCTCAGAAGGCTCTACCACAAGTCAGGCACAAATAGTCCATGTGAACATTTGAGATAGATTTTCTAAATTTGTGCGTCTCATGTTTCAAGCTCCTTTAATTCTGCTTTGCTCGTAGAGCACAGCACCTTCTCGGGTGAGGACATGCCATGCATATATGTGTATAAACACATTACACACACACACACACACACACACACACACACACACACACACATATGCATATACACACATATATACTAGTAGAAGAGTTACACTATAGACTTCTGGGGACATATTTTGTACCCACTGCCCTTAATTACATAATTTTAGCAAAATACCAATTTCTAAAAGCTAAGTCTAGCTGACTAATTCAGGCCATTGATAATCAATGGAGGAAAGCAGAGACTCATAGCTATATGTAATCAAATAAGACACTGTTTGCAATTCTCTTAGCCCAGTTCCTGGCATGTAGTAGGCATTTAATAAATGCTTGTTCCCTTACTTTCTTCTAAAGCATTAGAAAAATGTCTCCCATCTGATCAGGGTTACCCTAAGAATCTTGAGGTGAGATAAAATAGTTTGCTCTGTGAATTCAATCTATCGATGAAAATTGAGGTCGAGAGAGCTGCACTGGAGTATGTACTACACTGGCATTCAAGGGCCTCCACAATATGGCTCCAAGCTACATTTTCAACCTTTTCTCACTTTATTACTTTTTCTTATATTTCAGCCAAATGAGAGACTCACCATGCCCCTTCTCCTTATCGTGGCTTTTCCTACTTCTTTGGTGCTTATGGAAATCCTTACCTTTAAAGCTCAGCATGGGGGTCACTTCCTCCATGAAGTCTTCCCTGACTATCAGCACTTGAAAATGACCTCTGCCTGGAATCATATTTATATAGGCAAGGCTGATTCTCTTTAGACTATAAGTAACTTAAAAGGGCAAGGCATGCATATTATTTCACTTGTGTTTCCAGTGCTTGGCATGACACAGATAATAAACTTTTGTTGAATTTAAATTTCAACATGAAATACTACAGAACTCAACGAAATAAGGACCATCATTCTGACACTGGAAAAAGTAATTACAGTGACTTTATTGTATTAATGGCTTGGTAAGAAGGAGTCAAGGACTGAATACATGGGGAGGTAAGGGAATCAGAGAATGTATGCTCCTCTTTTAAGGATTTTACAGATGTTATGGAGAGAGAGAGTTCCATTACTAATCATAGACACAAGACTTTCTTTAAATTCCCTTGATTTCTGAAAACAACATCCTCTTTTTTTTTTTGTTGTTGTTGTTCCCTGGTCACCAGGTCCATGCTTCAGTTTCTGTTCTACTTGCAAACATTTAATTCCCATGTTGAAGCTGTCTTCCCTCTGCCACTCTCCAGTGTCCTGAACTCACCCTTCTTTCTGAAGCACACAGCTCACTTTCAACATCTCATGGCTGTGTCCTTCCAACCATTTCCAGCTGTTCTTGCATTTTAACACATTTCAATTAGACTCCAATCTTATTCACCTCATTAGCTATTCTTCCCACCTACCTATTATCTTTTATTCTAAGACTGCACATTCCTCTCTCCTGGGAGCACCATCCTTCCTGGGTGGCAAGAAGCTCACATATCTCAGGTAAAAAAAAAATAATAATGTGTAAAATTCTCATTCAATTCCCACAACCTACTTTAGTATTCTTTTCAATGTTTCAGTTCATATTTACATTGTATCACAGATCCCAAATTTTCAGGAGACCCCAAAAGCCATCACATTTCTCTTAACTGATTTGGGATCTCCCATCAATACCTTTGTGATTTGGATTTGGGGAAGCAAGAAAAACCAATCTGTTAATCTTCTGACAATTTTCACCTACTTAAATTTTTTGTCTTTTATCACTTGGTTTTCAAATTCAATAATGAGCACATGCTATGTGTAGAGTAGAAACAAGACAATAAAGGGAGCTAATCACTCAACAAATATTTTATTAGCCACCTACTATGTGCTAGACACTGTGCTAGGCCTTTGGGGATTCAAGTACAAAGAATGAAATAATCTCTACTCAGAAAGAGCTTATGTTCTAATTGGCAAGACAAAGTGTGTAAAATAAGAAGATATACATACACATATATGTATGTGTATATGCAGATATTTATACACAGCATAAATAGAAAGTGAACAAGTACGAATTTGGAGGGAGGGTATCAAGAAAGACTTCATGCAGAAACTGGCACTTGAGAAAAATAAAGATAGCTTTCACTTACCTCTAAACTGTCTTTCTGGGTTTATTTCGTATTCCCCCCCCCCCCCCCCGTTCATTCTATGTATCAGGCAAACTGAACTGCTAAATCAGAGGTTAGAGCTGGAAGGCTCCTTATAGATCCTCTCATCCAATCTCTCCATTCCAAAGGTGACAAAATGGCCCTAGATAAAGTGAAATGCCCAAAGTCATATACCTTTTGAGTCATACTATGGGTATGATATACCCATATGTCATGGGCCTCTTGTTTCGTAGGTCTCCTGCTTCTGACCTTTTGAATATGTTTTACCCTCTCCCCTCTTAGAATTTACCCTCTCCACCTCTTTTGTGATGAAGCCTCTCAAGTTATTCCTCTTTCCATGAAAATAATCACTCTTAAAATTTCTCCTAGAACATTTTTGATTTCCTCTTTGCCCATGTCATATTCTACCCTATGTTATACTGATTTGCATAAATGTTGTATCACCCTTATTGGGTTATAACTCCTTGAAGGCAGGGCCTGTGTTGTTTTTCATCTTTGTATACTTCGCTTCTTGTATTTATCAGGCAATTAAAACTAAGATAAATAGGAAACAGCAAGGGAGCACTTAGCTGCCTTCCCTAAGTTCAAATTACCAAGGCCTAAAGAATTGTTATGCAGAGAGTTCAGAAAGAACTCTCAGCTGTGTTTGAAAGATAATAGAGAAAAAGAGAGGTGATGGAGGTCTAGAAAATAAATATCTTAAAGTTAAAAAAGGAACAAAGTAGAATCCTCACTGAAGTCCACTTAGCATAACTTCATTCTTAAAAAAAATTAGAGAATGTTTTATTGAAAAGATCATTAATGAATATATAATAAAGAAAGGAGTGATCACTAAGAGCCTGCATGGCTTCATCAAAAACATTGTAAAATCAAACTTATTTTATTTTTTTTTGACAGAGTTACTAGATTGTTAGATTAGGGAAATTTGGGAGACAGATTCGAGCAAAACATTTTACAAAGCTCTTTTTTAAAATTAATTTTGTAGGAAAGATTGAGAATGGTTGGGCTTAAGGAGAAGATAAGTTCTATTTTGAGTATGATGAGCTTGAGACGTGGTTGGGACTCCAGGAAAAGATGTAAAACAGGCATTTGAAGATGTGGGAGTGATTCAGGAGAGAGATGAGGACTGAATGTGTAGCTCTGGTAATCATTTGTGTGTAACCCATTTTCTGTCTCACCAAATAAAAACAGCTCTGAATTTTCTAGGACCAGATTATAATATTGGAGACATTTTATGGCTCGTCTTTTCCAATCCAGAAGTCTTTGTGGGAACAGGTGAATTTGAACTGCTTCTTGTTCTTCATTAGGAATATTCAGTCCCCCACTTATAAGCAACAAGATCCTAATAAACATTGGAACATAAAGCATATTTAATGAAAAGTAGGTAATGAATAGAAATGGGACTTGTCCCTAAGTTAACAGGGGAATGCTGCTAGTTCTCTCCTGGCAATGGAAATAAAACTCACAACACCAGGAAGGGAAATCTCAATAGCATAAGAGTTTGGAACTTTGTTGAAGAAAGTCTTCCCATTTCAACCATCCCCTATTTTCCTGGGAGTCTCTCTTTTCACTCAAATATTCTGGTACAATTTATGTCAAAGGAAGAGAGGAAAGAATGGTCTAGAACAGGAGTTCTTGAGGTAGGGGTCCATGGATAGATTTCAGGGAGTCCATGAACTTAGATGGGAAAAATTCATCTTTTTTTACAAAAATGGTTTCCTTTGTAATCCTGCATATTTTATTTTATTCACTTAAAAAATTATTTGGAGAAAGGGTTCATAGGCTTTGCTAATCATAGGATTGTCCAAAGCGTCCATGACACACAAAAAGTTAAGAACTCCTGTTGTAGAACAAAGACTTGGGGGATACTTCTATTTGGGTGATAGGTGCCTGAAAATCACTTGGCATATAGTAGGTGCTTAATAAATGTTTATTTATAGATTGATTATTGGTTGGTTGGTGAAAGGAGATTAAGAAGGAGGAATCAGGTAAGTAATAGAACTAGGAAAGAACAGTGTCATAGAAGCCAAGCGACCAGAGAGCATTCAGGAGCAGCTGGCTATGGACAGAGGTTCTTTTGGTGAATGTGTGTTTTTGTTCCTAACACAGTGCCTGGCACATAGTAGGTGCTTAATAGATTATTATTGACCGACTGATATTTATGCTTTTATTTTTTCTAGTACTAAGAAAAAAAATAGTGGGGAGAGTGGATACCTTTATTTTATCTCTGATCTAACTGGAAAATTTTCCCCGTTTGTCCACTGCAAAGAATATTAACTTTTTATATTATATACATGATTTTTATTACATTAAAAAAGAGGTATGATATACTTGTGTTTTCTAAGATTTTTTATTATGAATGAATACTATATTTTATGGAAGATTTTTTTTTTGTTAGAGGCAGTTAATTTGTGTATTGTCTAGTGATTTAATTGTATAATCTTTTAAAAATCTCTTAATACATAGTTTTAGAGATATAAATTTTGCTACAAAAATACTTTAGCTATATTCTCCAAGTTTTAGCATGTTGTCTTATCACATTCTTATTTATAATTTATTACTTCTATAATTTGCTCATTGTGCTAGTTATTACTCAAGATACTGTTATTTTACATCACAGGCATTTACTGATACACACTTCCCTCAAATGAGATCTGCCTTCTAACAGGTAAAATCAGTTAAGCAAAGCCAAAAAACAGAGGGACTTAATCTCCATTTAAATCTATATTTGGTCCATATTTCCATTATAATTTATGTTTTCATTGCATTGTGATGTGTAAAACATTTCCTTATTATTTCCATCTTTTTATTGGTTTCTCTATGCTAGGGCACATGAATAATTTTAAAGGCACCATTTTTGCTTATAAATAGGTTTATTGTTTAACATTTCCTTTTGGAAATATCTGTATTTAAAATTCCATTTTTCATTAATCTCTCCCATTCTACATTTTCCATCTTGTTAATCTTTTTATTTGATTTATCTAATTCCAAGTATCAATATTGCATGTATTTTCTCAATTTAGCTAATTATTCCTTTAAGAACTTAAGTGTTATGCCATTTGCTTCATATTTATTTAATAATGATACTTTTTCTTTCTCTATGGTATATTTAAGTATAGACATTTATACTAAGCATCTGTTTTTCTCTTTTGGCATTATACCATTGTTGTTGCCTTATCTGAAATCAACATTACAGCATGAGCCATTGGCCATTGAGCCTACAATACATGTTTTATTCTATTACCTCATTTCCTCTTTGTATAAGCCTATATATTTTGAATGTTTTTCTTTTTTGCAACAACTGGTTGGGTTTTTTTTTTTATCCATTCTTCAATTCTCTTTTGTTTTCTTGGGGGATTTGAGAAACATACTTTTCTTTATGTAACCTTGGATAAGGCACCTTATTGTTCTGCATTTCAGGATCCTAATTTGTAAAATGGATTTTTTTTAGATCACCAGCAACAGCAATTTCAACTCTAAATTTTTTGATGTAATAGATTCAAGAAACGTATGGCTGGAGTGACCTGAGAAGATTCAGTGGAAGAGGTAGCATTTTCCTGAGACCATGAATGCTATTTATCAGCAGTGACAAGATCTTTTACTAATGGTAACTTGAAGGTATAATATACTTAAGAAATAAATAATAAAGACCAAAAAGCCCTGCTAAGTAGGTGGCCCAGTGGATAGAGTGTTGGACCTGCCTCAGACATTTAATAGATGTGTAAATCTGGTCATACCACTAAGCTTCTGTCTTAGTGTCATCATCAGTAAAATGGACATAATGAGAGCACCTCCTTCCCTCCCATGGTGTTGTGAGGATAAAGTACTGTATGAATGTCAGCTATTAATATTTATAAGATAGTGGACAACTTCTCCAACTGGGAAAGTACATTTTGAGGAAGGTTTTGTAATTAGAAAATGAAATAAATTAAACAATTTTTTTTTGCCTTCCCTTGTATCCTGTTTTTTTTTTTCTGCTTAGGACTTTAAAAGAAGCACATCTGTTATAAAGCACGAAAAATGACCTGTCAAATTCACTTTTGGATATATCTGATACCTAGTTCTATCAGGTACTGTCTAAGTCAACCAAAAACCTTATTTTGATTACTCTGGTTATATTAGATAACCATTATTATGGAATCATACTACATATTATGGAGTTATGCTCCATGCTGCCATCAGGAAAAATGGAACTCCTCTAAATCAGAGGTTCCCAAGTTTATTTGGACTATCACTCTCTTTAAAAAAAAATAACTCAGTGCCCCCCTGGAAATCTACTTTCTTTGACCCTTTAACATTTTTGAAATTTGCATAATTTCAAAAAAAGTAAACTATTTTTAAAATGATTATGCATCTTAAATTTAATAATTTAATGTGAATTTTTATTTTTCCCTGCATTGACATTTTGATGACACAATATTACATCATATAACCATACAGCATCATGTTGTAAACAAGTCATTACATGTACATATTCCTGCCCATAAGTCCATAAGTCCATGCCTGGACTTCCCAACGGTGTGGGACACACTTGCCTGTCAACACTTGCTTGTGAAGACTTGTCAGTGGACTTGACCAGTGATTGGTTATAACTTGCATTTTGTGTGTTTATTTGGAAAATAATATAATCATTATGACTGAACTGTTTTTCAAAATTTTTCAATCTTTTTTTCTTTCCTTATGCTTCCACCACCCCCATATTTTTATTTAATGCCCCCCAATTGCACCCAAGGCTACTATCATCCCCTGGACCATTCCAGTATCCCCCCAGGGGGCAATATTGCTCATTTTCAGAACTTATACCTACTCAGGAGATAAGATATACACACACACACACACACACACACACACACACATATATATATATATACATATATAGTATACATGTCATACATTTATCATACATATACATATACACACAATAATGGCAATTGTCATAAGTGAATTTTTATAATAACCAAAGTTACAAGGGAAGAGCCAAAACTTTTTTAAAAATTAGCTATTTTTAATGGGAGTCTTTCTAAAATGAATTACACACTTCTCTACCTTCTTAAACAGTACATTATGAACACAATTAACTTTTTCTTGGTGACTTAGGGTCATTATTATGAACATGAATTATTGCTTGTGTTTAGAGTTTTTTTAGGTGGTAGAGTTTTTTCCTTTTATCAAAAGCAGCTTCAGACCACTAGGCTTTTCAAATTCTTGAACCTGCTTTTATAGGTTTTCTTTAAAAAAAATCCTTCTTTATTATTAGCTGTCACTTTTTGCTTCCAAGCAAGTCCCTGCCAATAGCTCCTCTCCCCTCTTCATATTTTCTACATCTAACCTCAGATGGGATTTGTTGCTGTTCAGTCGCTCAGTTATGTCCAACTCTTTGTGACCCCAAGGACCATACTATACATGGGGTTTTCTTGGCAAAGATACCGGAGTGGTTTACCCTTTCCTTCTCCAGTGGATTAAGGCAAACAGAGGTTAAATGACTTGCCCAAGGTCACAAAGCTAGTAAGTGTCTGAGGCTGTATTTGAACTCAGGTCTTCTTGACTCCAGGTGTGGTGCTCTATCCACTGTACAATCTAAAGCCTTCTTCAGATGAGCTATAAAATCAGATAAAACAAACTTGTCAGAATTGTGACTACAATGAGAGGAAATTGATTCTGAATGAAAGTCTCATTTTTCTGATGAATACATGTTAACTCTTAATAGCCCAAAAGAATCACAAAGAAGAATGAGATAGAAGTGCCATCAATTCCAAATTGACATGTTGGAGTGATGCCCACTGGTTAGACCAGGTCACTTCACTTGGAGGAAGGAATATATATGGAATGTCTAAGGTACAGCCCGGAGTGTGCATCACATGATGATGTTAAATCCCTGAATTTCCTGACCTATTCATTGGAATATGCAAAGGTACTGGAAGTCTACTAATTATAGATTCTTACATTTTAAAAGGCTCCCTTTGTTTGCTTCAATCTAAAACTACCTAGCCTTTTTTTCAGCCCTGGGGCATTTGGAGGTCACTGTATATTTGGAGAGCAGTTATATGTGGGGTAGCTGGGAAGCAGCATATGCCTGTTGTAGCTTCTTTGGATGAGTATAAAACAGCTTGTATACCATTAACAAACTCCATAGGTAGATGAACTGAGTAGGACACTTTTTAATCTTTCCTTTGAGATCGGAACCTAAGTAAGGCAAAGAGGGCTAGAGCCAGGGAAGTGAAAGGTCCTAGTCTGAGATTTCCCATTATCTCTCATTTCAGAGAAAATTCTGCTTCATAGAAATGGTCTCTATTAATACAATAGTGATGCTGTCTTGCCTTGGAGGCCAAACACATATGTTTCCTTAAGCTATTTTTCCAATACAAGTGGTCATTTTCCATCTCAAGCTCTTTTCTTGCAAATACAAATATCATTTTGAAGAAGTTAAAAAAATGGTCTCTGAAAGTAACTTTATTCTTTCATTACAAAGATAAACCATTTTTTAAGGTGAAAACTGTTAAATTGCAATATACATGGCTGTTTTGTTGAGTGTTATCACAATAAAACAAAAAAGAGCCTTATTTACCCTGTTATACCTTTTGTTTTTCTTCCAGTGTTACAGAAGCAGATTAGGAGTCTGATTACTGAGTTTTGAGGCAGAGATAAATCTTCCCATTGCCTGCCTGTTGCCTCAGGATATTTCAGAGTAAATAAAACATATCTGAATTGTAATGCTGGCATCTGCTACTTGGTAACTAAAATGGAAAAGACACCAACTGAAAATCAACAAAAGAAAAAGGGCAAAATTGATATTCCATTTTCATTCCTTTGAGACCCACTGTACCAAAAGCAGTTACATAACGTATTTGAGAGGAATTTAACCTTGCAGAGTTAAATTATGCCTTTTAGAAATGACATCTCCCTATTACTTCCCTTGTTTAGAGGCCAGAAATGATTCATTGTCCTACCATCTCCCTCCCGTTAAATTTCAGTGAACTTTGGGAATGTCCTGCTGATACTCTTCTAAGTGTTGGTGTGTAGAACAGTGAGGGGATGTTCAGGAGCAAACAAGAAGGGAAGGGGAAAATGAGAACGTTAAACTATAAAACAGTGACATTGTTTGAGGACGCCTTCTGAAGACTCTAGAATGGAATTTTACTTTCATGGGGATTCCACTGTATGACCCACTTTCCTCTAGCCTCTTCCACCTCTTCTTCCTTCACCCTGTGCTAATAAATGTTTTAGTATAGAACTACTTAATGACAAGAAGAAAAGCTCCCAAAAAACCTAGCATTAGCAAAGGCCAGTTTTCATAAATGACGGTATTTTCTGGCCTACAATAGATCAATAAACTTTAAGTTTCATGGAAATATTTTTATAATGTGGTTTGTTCTCTTGCACTAAGGACATCTTAATTTTCATGTAGTCAGTTGAGCCTTCATATGATTTTTCCAAATTGGCTCCCGTGGATGAGTATGCTAGAACCTGCTTGTACTAATTCAGGAGAGATGAGTGTTAAATTTTTAGTATGAACATTTACATCTTAGAAATCAGAAAATACTAAAATTTAGTTTTGAGTTATTGATGATTGTACTGCCTAAAGAATCTTATGGAGAAAAAGCTAATAATGGCAATTAGGTTTAAGAAACGTACTTTGGGTACCTCATTTTTTTTTGGTGGGGGAGCTAG